TTTAATTATAATCTTTATGGTTTGGACTAGTCATCACGCGGTACAGAGCATAATAATTTATCTACTTAAATTAATTTAAAACGTCATACGAAAAAACACCTTATTTATAGTTATTCGTCCTTCCATCCAATTTAATTTTCCTCATAGTCTATATACGAATTCATACATTTATAAAAGGAATATGAAATAATAACCTTATAACATGTATCTATTAATTATTTTAGAATATCGAATTTACAATTTAAACATATAAATATATAATATATATTGAGTCTGGAAAAAGAGAAGAAATATTTAATAGAACTATTTTCCAATATAGAAAGAAATACGTATTTATTGTCCTTCTATCCAATTTCCAATAATTGAAATGACCGCTAAAATATCTCAGACGCCATATTTCTTTATTAGTCTATCCTTTCCTACCAATTCTACCAACTTATATTCGCGCAACCATTAAAAGAGATATGAAATCTAAATCGACTATACGCCACCTATAATTCCCCAGCATCGGCAACGAAGGTTACGACGAATCTAACCTACGTCCGTACAGAAAACAATCACCATCGAATTAAAACGAAAGCACCTGCGAACACGCTTCGCCGAAGGAGCCAATCATCGCGCGACGCTATAAAACGCGGAAAAAACGTCGTATCGAACTCGAGCGCTCGACCCAGCATCCTATCTCGAAAGAGTTAATACCGTTTAATGGCGGGACATTAATACAACACGCAGCGACGTCGTTGGATTAAACTACTTCGATGGTAGTTCGGCGTCCGTAACGAGCTACTAAGTACCTAACGATCGTATATATACGCATACTCACGACTACACACACATAAACACTGTATACATACGTGCACGTATGCACGAAGAGATAGAAACGCCATAGATTTCGTAATACGTACCCACACTGATGGCCGAGCACGTTGCTACCGCTGCTCATCTCATCTGTGGCACAGGCCGAAACACGAACGAACGGGAACGTCCTGGCTGCTAGGATGCACCGTCGCGAAATCGATCGAAAATAACGTAGGCTGTATCCTCGATCGATCATCGAGCAAGATTCGACGCCGATCGAGCAACGGCACTGCTACGTCACGGTACGACACTCGCGGGAAAAAATGTATATTCTTTCGTGGCTCGTTGCGATACTGCCGGCAACAGCGACAGTGGCGACGACACCGGCCGGTCACACATTCACACCGAGTCGCCGCGATGCACGACGGTTGACGCGAAGACACTTCGGTACACCTCCTCCTTCTCCACCTCCTCCTCGTGTCTCCTATACGTGTGTTCCCTCGCAACAAGTTGAGTTTACCCTTGAATCGAACTCATCGAGGACCCAATGATCGTTGCCGCCTAATACACCGGGTCTACGACGGACACTTTTGTTCCGGAGCAACGTGTTGAAGGTTATGGAATGTTGTGGCGTGACTCTCGATACTGACGATACAGCCAATAGGACGCCGTCGAGACGAGCTCGTGCTTCGAGCGATCGTGGTGGAGCCGTCGGTGAGTTTTTTTTGCGCGTTCGACCGTTAATGTTTACGTGTCGTTAGAGTGGAAGTCTGTGAGGAACTCGAGTCTGGACTCGTTCGCAAGCAGCGTCTCCGATATCAAAACTTGTACGATTTGGTTCGTCGTTCAGCTGAATCGTTTTTATCGTTCATGGAAACGTAGCTATTCGCGCGTGTGACAGCAGTGTATCTCGATTCGCCGAGAGGTTATGTGTGTGTACAGCATCGAAAATTTTGGTGATCGTACTTAACCGAAGAAATCGCTATGGAAATATTCGATATAAATGTTCCTGCGTGTCGCGTTCTTCTCAATAAGGAGATTCTTTCGATGTCGATGACTGATGCTTATTGTTTAGAAGACACTTGGTAATTGCGTTACGATTTGTCGCCGCGCGATTTACTATGCTGTTAATCGATGAAGTTTCAAAGTGCGTGACATTCGTGATGGAAAATCGTGTCGATACAAAACGTGTGCAATGGTCGTTCACGCGGAAATCGAGTACGAACGTGTCAATATGTTTCTTATCGTTTCTTCGTTCGCTTATTTTTACGGACACCGTCGGTAGGAGCGTGCAATTATACGTTCAATTAGATCCGTCGGCGAGGATTCTTCCTCAAATTTTCACGCTGCCTGCGCGATATTTATTTCCTCGATTAGTTCTTCCCTTGAAAGTGAAAGGTTAAGGTCATCGGCGGCACACGAATCACGTTCGTTGCATCGCAAAAATACGATACGTTTCATCGAATGATATCGATTCGCGTGTTGCACAATCTCGCGTAACTTTTTGGCTGATCTGTCGAGAAACGACAGCCTCGCCGCGTATGTGACTGTTTTACATCCAAGCAACACGTGTGTACCTCTTCATTGTTCCTCTTAAAGGTTGCTTGCCCGACACTCTCTCCTTTCATTGACACAATCGTTAATCTCTTCGAGCAGCTTCATTACGGAACAGCTAACCGGTAGCATCGACGTTTCTCGCGGACAAGGGCCCGGATAGATAAAAAGCAGCTTGCTCGTCGAGAAATTTAGCCTTGGCTCGAGCGGAATATGCTCACACTAACGAATCTCGTCACCTTCGTCCGAGATGATCCCCTTAAACGACGTGACCAGAACCGTCGCGAAACTCGATCGCTTAAAGTGACTTACAAAGGAATGCACGTTGGGCAGTGATGTACGATTATCATCGCGGGCCACGTTCTCATCGTCGCCTCGACTCATCAGGCACCGCTGTTAGTCGATGTTCGTCGACTAGCTCGAGGCTTCCTCCGCGACACTGTTTCCGTTTTTCCAACACGGTGAACACTGATAGACGAACTTCCTCATCCAATCATCGTCTTTCTGAGACACTTCAAATGGTCGTGAACGCAACCCGCGAAGCTCGTGTCGCGATGCCACGGAATCGAGGTTAACTCGCTCGGCGTGAACTTCCACCGGTCTTTGTGCACGTTCCACGCAGCAAATCGAAGACCTTGCGACGCCGTCGTCGCTGTCACGCGTTCAAGAGAACGTCAAGCGTGTCCTCGTCACATGATCCGCCGACTGCGATGCTCGCCTCGTTTCGGTACGAACGGAGCGTTGCGGGACGAACGGGCAGCTCGGAGGCTGTGCAGGTTAGAACAAGGGGCGCGAATCGTCGCTCGCGGATCAAATGAGAGAAAGAGAGAAAAAGAGAAAGGAAAAAAGGAAAAGAGAATGGTACGCCGGTTTCTCCTCCTTCGTTGCCCGGGGAGCGGCTATGGCGGCGGCCTGGCTCTTACTGCTGCTTCCCTCGGCGCGGGGGTGGCCGAAAGGTGTCGGTTGCTCGCGGGTTGAAGGGGGAACGATTATCTCGCAGCATCCCCATCGCGCAGGACCAGTTCGTGCGACGTAACGTCCATGTTGGACGGAGACGCCGAGTAGTTGACAGAGGGAATGAAAGAGGGCGCTGGTTGAAGGGAGACGCGAATGGCGGACGGCGGAGACGGAAGGGAGGTGACTGATCGTGAGAGCGACGGTGAGTGAGCCGTGGCGTAGGCTCGGGAGCGAGATGCTAGAAGGAAAACGGGCTGAAAAGTGGAACTGAGAGGAAACGAGGTTTGGAGAGAGATGGCTGAGGGAGGAAAGGAAACGGTTTGGACAGGGTTGGTTGGAGAAAGAGGTAGTCGGTTAAGGGGATGGAGAAGGAGGCGTACGAGCAGGAGAATGTTGGAACAGACGAGTGAGTCGGATGGAGATGAAAGATGGCTGCGGGTTGGAGAGAGAGGGGAGATTGGAGAGCAGTGGCGATTGAAGAGGGATGACGAGAGGAAGCATGAAACGGAGGGAATAGGTGTGGATTAAGGAACGACGAGAATGAGGTGAAGGACAAAAAACAATGGGGCAGAGAGGGAGCGATGATAAGGAGAGAGAGAGAAATGATGGAAGCATAAGGTCGAGGGAAGAAGCAGAAAAGAAGGCAGTGGATATATCTCTTTTGTCGAGGCAACGTGAAATATGCGACGGAGAAGGAGGCAAGATTAGAGGAGTTCAGAAAGATACGACGAGGTTTTAATCGCTGCATGATGACCGTACTGGAGACAGAAAAATTTTTATAAATCGCCAGCCGGCCGGATGCGAACGACAACTGAAGTGACAAAAAGCGGGTCCTTGAAGAAGGCACTTAGAATGAGAAGGTAGGCACGAAATGAATAGGAAACTGTGACGATGCGATGTAGAATAAGAGAGACGGGCAAACACTCTTCTATTTCAACGCTGCGTGACACGGATACGAATAGCGAGCAGAACCCTGGAAACACCGAAGATTCGAAGGGGAAAAAGCAAGGTTCGAACGATATCTTATACTCTGTAATACCGACCAATTAAGACGCAAGGGTGCGTAGCCTATTATTTCAGAAATTCTTGTGTTCCAATTTTCCAGGAAATAATTACAGCGCATGATCACTGTGAAAATTATTTTCATTCATTTTATTTCTTTTAATCATTAATTAATGCATACATATATATATTTATATAATAATATGTATTTTGTATATAAGAATATGCAAGATACTACAAAATATTATAATATTATAGTATAATAATAATTCAGTATAATAATATATTCAATTATGAGAAAAAAATAAAATAAAATTTACTAGCAATAAGTAAGTCTTATTAGTAAATATTATGTACAAATGTAAAATACTAGAAAATGTTATGATATTATAATATTATAATATTATAATACTGTATAGTACTGTATAATATCAATACTGCAATTATGGTACTGTATAATACTATTCAGTATTATGAAAAAATGCATGTGCAAATAGTGAGAACAGGTTTCTATTTATCGTTAGAAGCAACAAGTTCCTACTGCAAGATTTTATTTTACGAATATATTTTATTCAGATTTTCGAGTCTTATGGTTGCATCTATAAATATCAATAGAGGAACATTTATAGGAAAGCTGCATAAGCGTTAACACGGGGAACGGAAATTGTAGAATTATTGCATCTCTATACCGTTTGATACTGATCTTGAATTGCACATCCAATCTGATCTTCAGGAGCAAATACTGGTTTTGTAGCCTGAAATTTGAGCATACATGAATAAATATCAACTGAATGCAAAATAACAAGTTTAATAAAAAAAATGCTATATCAGACTGAAGTAATTAAAAGTGGAGTAATTAATTGGTATCGCCGAGTGTATATTTTCTAGGAAATATTATCGATTTCAAGGTGTTTCAAATTGACTGGAATGCGATGAAATCAGTAGTACAAACAAGAATAAAGTAGTCTCCGGGTAAACCATCGATTAATTCTCTTTTCATTAATACACGTTTTAATGAATAAAATACGATATTATAAATGTACCAATAGAATAAATTGAAACTGAATTTAAGGCTATGTTCGTTGAATTTTAGTGAAGATTTTATATTTTAATATATTTAATTTATTTAAGATATTTTATATTTTAACGAGTGTAGATATTTTTATGCCTAATAACTTTAATTCCTTAATTACTATTATTTTGTAAGCAGCAAAAATGAGTTGTTAAAATATTAATTATAATATTAATTATAAGCTGCATATCTGCATATTCACGTTCATTTTATACATTGCAAGATTTTTATATTTTTTAACCAAGTAAAATAAGTACTATCACACTTCTGTAACATAATTTCTTCTGTAATTTCGGATTTAATTGTTAATTATATTTTTAGAGTAACTGGAATTTTTGCAAAATCTCCACGAATTTCAAAAGGCGCGTTAACGTTGAACGTAACGTCATATTTTACCTGGTGCAGATGCTTCATTTAATTTTATAAAATTCCCTAATTATAATTCCACTAACTAATGATTACATAAACTCTCCACGAATTGTGTAGAAACGCAAAATTGCGTAAATTCGTGCACTTTATTTACACATCGCCAAAAATAATTTACTATCGCAAATGAATAGGATCAAAAGCAGAATAGTAACTTCGTAATTATTGTAATTTATCATAATTACTTGTATCTCGTGTGACAAGCAATCCACTGAAATTCTGCAAAAATAGAAGCTAATTCTTCTTGAAAAAATGAGTTGCAAATGAGGAATAAAGTTTGAACAAGGCCTCGTTTTCGAGAAAATCAATTTTGGAAGTTTACCAAGCACTTTACTCGTATCTCGTTTTCATGAGCTATAGTATGCACTTCATTTTCCATTGTAGTTACTAAAGTACCAACATGAACCATGAAAAATGTCGAATAAGATGACATTTTTACTTTCTAAAACTTTTAAATTATATCTTGTAAGTTTTGGATACTATTACCTATACTGTTGCATAAGTTTAAATCTTTCCTAATATACTGTAATTTTCCATCTTTCTGCAATTTCTGTAATCTTAAATGCAAAAGGAATCTTCAAATTAGAGGTTCTCAACGCGAGGTTTATATATTCTTGAGAATCTGCGTTAAAATTTTTAAAGATACATTGTGTGATTTATGAATATACAATTTTATATCATTTCAATACATTTGCTTAATTTTATTCCTACTAATATATCATGAATATGGTTCTATCTAGATATACAAAGAGTACACCCATTGTGTACCCATTTCCAGAGCATAAGAGAAGCATAAAAGGTTGATAGATGGTTTTGAGTATCCAATATTCATTGTGTCTTTGTTATTGAGTATCAATTTGGTATAACTTCGTAAATAAAAGTCGATGCAATGTCTGTAATAGTTATAATAACTATTATACTGTAATACCTATTATTACTTATATCAGTTATAGCTATATTGGTTTTAAGTATTCAATACTCATCATGTCTTTCTTATGGAGTATCAATTTAGTATAACTTCATAAATAAAAGTTGCTGTTATATTTGTAACAATTATTAGTGATTATTAAACTAAAATAACTATAATAATTGCTACTAAAACCTAATAAATATCAATATTTCTGGTTCAAAAATTTTCTGTTATCTACCTTCATATATTAATACTATTATAAGGACTTTCCTATAAAATTTTTATGATTCTATAAAGACTAAATATTTTTATACGAATCGAACTGTTCCTCTGCTATTACTTTACCATCTTTCAATATAGTCCAAAATTCAGAGACTAATAATCACTGTAGACAGTTCATTTTAGCTACCACTCGGTACTGCTGATATTCAGTAGTATAACACCAAACAAACGAAACATAATTCGGAACAATTAATCACACGATTACCTAATTTCTTTTCTAAATCGCGTAGATTCATAAAAAATTAAAACATCCATTTTAACTCTCAAATCTGCTTCCGAAGGGAAGCCTTTTCCCCGCTCTATCCACCCTGCTGCAACGCCGACAAACCTAATTCCAATACCATGCGTGGCCCCCACGACTTCGCCTGCTGCTCCTTCCATACCAATTTTCATTCCGCACCTTCGCTAAGTAAACTCAGGCACGTAGGTTAACTGAGCACACATTGACGAAGGCGTGTAAAAAATGCAAGAGCGTTTATCGCATAAAACCCCCCATGCTCTAGATCGAAGCGTGTGTTCGCATCGCGGTGAATATTCGTTCCGCCACACCCCCAAACACCTGGCTAATAAACCTAATGTCGTGTGCGATAAGTCATGTCCGTAATCGGACCCAGGTGTGCCAATACAAACGAGCCTGCGAGGTTAGTAGACGCGCCGTGCCTTACACGTGTGCAAGCACACATTCGGCATGTAACTTCGATCCTTCTAATAAGAGGATTAGTAGCGAACAGTTGGAACGATTATAGGGAAGAAGAGTTAGCTGATGCACGGATTTCCGGCTAGAGTGTATCGAATTGTATGAAATATTCATGAAAGTTTAGTTAGTTTGACGATTTGCGCGCGTGGATTAGTACGGGGTATCGAGATGTCGCTGAGGTCGCTGGTTCTGGTAGCTGAAGTTAATGCCACGGGGTCGCTAGTAGTCACTCTCGTTCTTTACGGCGCAGCTTCATTCGACTTGGCCAGTGGAATGTAATTAAAGCGGATGGGTTTTTCGTGCAAGGGGATAGACCATTCTCTTTAGTTTCTAGCCTGAGTGCTACTCGTGATATCAAGGATGTTTGGTGAATAAGATGGCATGCAGGACTGCTCTGTTGATTTAGTATGCGCTTGTGAGAAATATTTTTATAGTTTATATGGTTATATAAATATTTTTATAGTTTAGTTGTATAATTTAACACTTTGTTGACCGGCAATTTTACACAGAAACTGTGTCATGTCACCGGCTATTATTTTGTAATTCAATCTGCAAAATCACTTTCACACGCAATATTCTATATCGCCCTGGGTTTCATAAATTGAAATAGATAATGCGAGTGCAATGACGAGTTAACTCGTCATCGGTCAACAATGTGTTAATTATACAGTTATATATTATTATATATCATATAATTATTTTTATATACGTATACAACATATGAATGCAATAATTGTTTAATTATACAGTTATATACTTATATACTTAAACTATAAGAATACTTCTCATTAGCTTACGTATATAATATTAGTATCTTTATTTTCATATTATTATTACTTTGTAATATATGTACTATGTACTATATAGTTATATCTGATATTTACCTAAATTGGTATTGGTTACCAATACTGTTATCTGTATACATCTCAGGATTGTATTTATATTTTATTATATTATTTTTCGTTATTAATTAATCAACTCTATAATATAAATTTTCCTGATACAAATGTTCTCACTCTTAGACATACCTCTTTAGCTCAAAATTCAAATATCTCCAGAGAAAAGGATATAAAGTCGCAATTGCAAAAGGTGACACGTGCAAAAATTATTCCATCCAACTGTCTTCCATACAGCCCTGAAATTTGAGAAAGAAAAAATGGTGTCATATTTTCCCATATTTGATAGGATCTTACTGTAAAATATTCCCCGAGCTGAAATTCATACGAAGTATTTATAACAATTGACCATCCTCCGTCGAGCAGACCTTTTTGCCATTTCTTCCTGCGTGAGGGACCAGATCGATGTCCAATGTACAGGAGCATGCTAGTCAGAAGAAATAATAAACTACCGGCAGCAAAACGTCAAGCGTGTCGTGACGAAATTTGTTACAGGACCGTCGAACTTGCACGATGAATAACTTGAAACAAATGTCACAGCCATGCGTCATTCGTGGACGTTATAAATCGAGCAAGGACCCTCTCTGCCAGCTCGATACGATGCTAGACACCGTTGAAACTGCCGGTAGCAATCAGCGATAACGACAATGGCAACTGCAACAACGATCTAACGAATTCAGCCACGGCGAAAGCTCGTCTAACTAGACAGCAGTGCAGGTTTCTATTTTGCACAATGATGGACGCTGATAGTAACATAATTACAATTAACAGGCACCCGACACGAGATACGGCAATCCTCTTCAGGGCCAGGAGTCTAAGTAATTAATCAGAATATCCCCATCACTGTGACCAACATTCAGGAAGTTGCCGCAACGGAGACCGCGGAAAATTTATCGATTGTTTGGCCTGGACCAAAGCTTTGAAAACAATCGTTCCCGATGCTACTACGAATCGACCTAACTCCATCAACGAGCCAACGATTCATCAACCGGTGTAGTAATTAACGAGCAACCGCCAGGCCAGTCTCCGATTCGTCCACGACCAACTTGTAGATCGATAGGTCGCACGGAGTTTCGATTTTACCTGCGTGGTAGCCATTCGATACATTTTTAAGGATTCCTATTCCTCGGTGATCGTATTCGATGTGGTTGCAAGTGTGGGTGACAAGATACGTGTGGTGAGGTAGCGAATATGATGCATTTTCCTTGAGGTATATTCGAGATAATTGTACCAGGTGCTTTGAGTCTGGTTGAATGGTAAATTTTTGGTATATTCGAATAATTTTTGGTACATAGGGTGGGTCACCACATGTTGTCATCTAGATATACGTTATTATTTTCACTCATAGCAAAAAATGAGAGAGGTATGTTCTGATGGTACTAGTTTTTCTGTAGATGAACGTGTAAAGGACATATGAAGGTCATTAATATTTCTTTAAATAGAATCATATACTTTTTATTACATCAACTGATGCTCCTTCATATTCTTTACAAGAACGTATTAACCTATTTATGTTAAAAAACCATTAGTTAAGGAGATATTTTAATTTTACTATTTGCAGAAAAGGTTCAGTATGGCGACCATTTGCATCATAACACTTTCTAAATCGATAAATTAATGATGCACTAATATTGCATAGCGTGTCTGATGTTATTTTGTTGCACTCAATGATGATACGAGTATGCCTCTCTCAAAACCAGTCAACCTCATCCGAAACATTTTTCACTATGCGTAAAAATAGTGACCCACCCTGTATAATTACTTTATTATCTTTCTATCTCCTATTTTATTTTTATTTCTTAATCAATATTTCACATTTTTGTTTAACTTTTACATACATATACAGTCACTCGCTTGCTATTATAATATTATTACTTGTATATTAACAATATAATTATTTTAGCATTTTTTCCTGTTTCATAGCTTCTATGTCTAATTTCTATTTACACGTGGAATCACCAAAAATGAGTTGATGAATATCTGATTACCGGTATCACTGATGTTCTTGGGTCTGAAGACCTTTTTTTTCTTTTTTTTTTTTTTAATTAAATTCTCTTTTATTAAATGAACTTTGCATTTCGTGAAAGTTACAACGAATCCTCTTACTGGATTAATAGCCCTTTCATTTTTTTGAAATGCCATAATCTAATTGTTCCTTGATTAACTATAACGAGAACAGTTTGCTTTTGATACCTGTTACATTTACATGCACGTACACATATGACGGATCCTCGTCAGAAAGGTATAAATGGCCTTTGTTCAACTTCGAAGTTGTACGGATTAATCCTTTTGATGAATCCTTTAGCTTTTGAATTTGGAAGCCATTTGCGCCGAAGAAGCTTTAGAAGACATACATCCTTTGTATCTACAGCTAAACTACAGCTCTCAATGATGTCCGATCTATGATACACGGAATATGAACTCATTAAAGGCGCTGCACGTTAAAAGTAATTTTTTACTTAGATTCCGGTGAAGAATGTTGCTAATAAAATGAATATAGCGATCTAACAGTTTTCTCGATTCTGCAATTTGTTATTGCATACTTAATATTGTAAAATGTATGTCAATACATGTATATGTCTCAGTGACTTATGATCAGTATTAGTAATAATAAATCAGAATTTGGAATTGTTATTCTTTGTTGATGT